ATTGTTTTCAAGGTGAAAATTATGATTCTTTCCTGATTATAAAATACATATTCAGCCCTAGCCAGTTTCTCAGTGGTTAGAGTGTCGGCCTGTGGACTGGAGGGTCCCGGGTTTGATTCTGGCCAAGGGCACATTACCTGGGTTGCAGGCTTGAACCCCGGCCCTGGTCCGGTACGTGTTTTTCTCTCACATTGATGTTTTCTTCTCTCTCTCTCCCCTACCCCCGCCCACTCTCTCTGAAAAGCAATGGAAAAAATATCCTCAGGTGAGGATTAAAAAAATTACATATTCATTCTTAAAATTCAAAAAGTTCAGAAAACTGAGACAAAAAGTCAGTTCCATCAAACCACTATTAATATGATTATCCTTGCAGACATCCCTCAGGATACATGCCCGTGTATGTGCAAATACATTATATATGCTATCACGTAAAGGGTATCATGTCACATGTTGCTCTAAAGCCACTTTTTCCCCTCAATATTATACCAAGAACATTTATTCCTATCAACAGGTGACTATTTTTATGTATTTTTCTGTACTATTTTTAGGTATGGATTCTAATAAATTAAGCAGTTTCTTCACCAATGGGAATTTAGGCAATTCCGTTTTCTTTTGCTTTGTTTCAAATATAACAGGCCACCATAAACATCCTTATTCATGCAGCTGTGCTTTAGTTGTTCAGCTCCTTAGGATAATTTTTATTATTATTTTTTTTCCAAAGAGAATGTTTTTTTGGTTTTTTTTTTAATATATCTTTATTGATTTCAGAGAGAGGAAGGCAGAGGGAGAGAGAGAGAGATAGAAACATCAATGATGAGAGAGTCACTGATCGAGCCCGCAACCCGGGCATGTGCCCTGACCAGGAATCGAACCCCGATCGCCTGGATCCTAGGTCGATGCTCAACCGCTGAGCCACGCCTGACCAGCCCTTAGGATAATTGTAAAAAGCAGGACTGTTGGATCACGGGAACACATCCCTAAAATCTAATCCATGTTGCCTTATGAAGGCCACACCTATTTACACTGCCCAAAGTGGCCGAGGGTGCCCATTCTCCACACCCTGGCCAATACTAGGTTTTGTCTATCATCTGTGCCACGTGAAAAAGTTTCTCACTACCACTTTGTGTGGGGTTTTATTTCTCCCTTTTTGTTAATCCTTACCCAAGGTATATTTTAGGATTTGAGAAAGGAAGGGGGGGAAGAGAGAAACATAGATGTGAAAGAGAAACATGGATCAGTTGCCTCCTGTGCATGCCCTGACTGGGAATTGAACCCACAACCTAAATGTGTGCCCTGACCAGGAATCAAACCCACAACCTTTTGGTATACAGGATGGTGCTCCAACCAACTGAACCACCCAGCTGGAGCTATTTCTTTTTTTGGAGGAAAAAAAATACAGATGACGACATTATGCACAGGGTTGCAACTGGCTTTTTCCATCTGTCAATTCTTTCTCCCCTTTCCCACTTGCTCATTCAAGGGTCAGGTAAAAAGCCATCTACTTGAGCCAAGAGCCTCCCAAAGCACCCCCTCTAGATGCCCACAGCTTCTACCCTTCCTGATGCGTTATCAGCAGGTGCACAAGCAGGCAGAGTGCCAGAAAGAATGGACTATAACGTCACCACCTAACAGGCCAACTTTCTGGGTGTGGGCACTGCTCTGCAGAGCACTGACAAGGCTGGCTCAGCACCTCCCATCTACCGGCCAAACCCCCACATGGGCCTGCTTTACTGAAATGCAGGGAAGGGTGGCACCTAATCTATGCCCTTCTTCTGCCCAGGCCATAATTTCCTGATTGGGTACCACAGTCACCACCCTATCTGCACACACTGATTGTTTCCTGCCGTCTTCTCCATCCCTGGAGCTCCCAGGGCCAAGCGAAGAGCCACTGGGCCAGCAAACTTCACAGCCTGAACCAGGAAATGAGAAGGTGGCAGGGAACTAACAAACTGAGACCCATCTGAGGGACTCCCCACCTTCCTCCTAGAGTCAGGCCCTGCTCAGAAAGGAATCATGGCTTGATTTTTAAAGTTCAAAAAATAGCTTTGATATGAAAGAATAGGTTGTTGTGAGGCAGCTGAACAGAGGGACACATGTGGCCTGCATTCAAATACGGACTCTGCCTTTTATTTTTATTTTTTAAATGTTTCCTCCCATACGACCCCCACTGAGGATCGAGCCCAAAACCCGGGCATATGCCTCAACCCAGGAATAGAACTGTGACCTCCTGGTTCATGGGTCAACACTCAATCAGAGCCACACTGGCTGGGCTTGACTCTGCCTTTTAAAGACAATCTAGGCTAAGTGATGGTCTCCGAGTGCCTGCTTACCCCCCTAAAAAATGGGGATAACAATTCCTTAGAAGACTGCTGCACAACATGGTAGCAGAGTGGTAAAAGAGCCAGACGTGCTTGGTTGTGAATCCTGGTTTTCCTCTAGTTTTACAGTCTTGAATAGGTTATATCGCCTCTTTGAACCTCAGTTTTACCACCTACTTAATGGGAATAACTAGAATACCTAAGTGTTGTTTTGAGGTTCAAATAATGTATGTGAAAGTATCTTATACACAGAAACACTGACTAAACAGAAGGCGTTATATCCATGGTCAATGAAGACAACGGCCATACCTTTGGAGGTTGGGCCTGAACTCTGCTTAGGCTCCTCCTTCTCTAGTCCAGCAGCAAGTTTTGAAGAATTTTCATCCCAGGCATCAAGGTCCCACTGGAGAAGGGAGTCAAGGGGCAGCCGTGCTCTCAAGATGCTGAACTGTGAGGCAGTGAAGGTGCCTCTGCTGAGAACGCCATTGTCCCCCCACTGGTTTACAAAGGTTGAGGTCAATCCCCAGTTTCCCAGTTTCATCCCCCTCTGGCCTCTTCCACACTTCCCTAGACTTCAGTTTCATTTTGCAAAAACTCAGTCACATTTGGTGCCATCACCCCCTGGGTACTTCGCCTAGAGGTCTCTGATCCCAGCGGGGGGCTCTGTTAGTGGTTTGTAAAGCCCTCTTACCATTTCCCTATTTTAGCCCGAGAGGTTCCTATTACACAGAGTGATCCTTGTGTCAAATAATCAAATCTATTCTTGGGGCTCCATTTTTTTAAATGTTTTTTATTGATTTTTAGAGAGAGGGGAAGGGAGAGGGACAGAGAGAGGGGAACATTGATGTGAGAGCAAAACGCTGATCAGCTGCCTCCTGCATGCCCCCCCCCCCTGGGGGGATCAAGCCTGCAACCAGGGCATGTGCCCTGGACCAGGAATTGAACTGGCAATCTTTGGGTATACGAGACGATGACCAACTGAACCACACTGGCCAGGGCGGGGCTCCATTTTTTAAAGGTATAGTTCAACAACCAAAACTCATCTTTAAACAGTCCCAGTCATTATTTGCCTCTCTCAAAGAACATCAGTGAGAACCCAGTTCTTACCCCACAAGGACACCTGTCATCCCCATGTCTCCCCTTTCCAGGTCTTGCACTCCAGCTGAGAGCCTCTGTCCAAAAGTCTCTGACTCCCAGTCCTCAGCTTTTCCTTGCTTCCTCCCACCTTCCCCCAGTTCCTTACTACATGGTCCATCCAGCCTTGCTGGTATCTAGGTACATCTCTGCTGTTTCTGCCATTTCCCTGATTCTCCACAGTGGAGGAGAACCAGGAGCTGACTTTCCTTCCAGCTCTGCAGTCCTGGCTCTCCCCATTCTCCAGGGGCTGCATCACACCAGGCTGAAAGCAAAATCCAAGCTAGAACCTGGGAAAGGTGAGCGTGTGCCTGACCAAGCACAGAGAAACTTCCTGGTGGCGGAGTGCGGGGAAGAGTGGGCACTCGTGTGTTGCGAAACCTGTCACATCTCGCTCCTTTCTCCCCGGTTCCCAACCGTGATTGGAATCAGCAATCATCACCTCTCCTTTCTGAGTAGCCTAGTGAGGAATTCAGGGCCATCTTCTCTCTTGAGCCTGTGGGACAATGGAGCAGGCCCAGGCAATTTGAGGCCTAGGTAGAGATACCCCTGAGAGCAAAGCCTGACCTGATGCAGGGCAATGTGTTGTAGGTGTTTTGTCTCACCCACACTTGAGAAAACAGAAGGTGCGCAGTTTCTAGCATCTCAGTATTAGACTTGTAGGAGCTACTGGAATAAATAGGAGAGCTTAGGTTCTCAGACACTGCCTGGATCTCTGTAGCATAGGGACTGCTTCCTGCTAGTGGAATCAACAGTTTTTAAAAAAAAAATCTGGTCACCTTCCAAACGCCTCCTGATCCTTCTCATAAGAGCTGGGGGAGGGCCTGAGTGTGATCAGAAGACTCAGGCCCAGGTCCCCTCTGCACCCCACAACAGCCCCCAAACCACCAGGCTGGCAGGATGGAGATGAGTGAGCCATTTGGGGACAGCTCTGCTGGATCCCAGGGCTGGGGGCGGGGAGGAGGGTCCTGCTTTCCACCACCAGGCCTGGACAAGCAGAGCCACTTCTGCCCCAAGCAAATCAATTGAAAGCCTTGGCCAAGCCTGTTTGAGTTGGTGAGAGCCCAAGTGGGAATTCCAATCTGCCAGTGTTTGCTATACAGGCAAATAGAGCCAAACAGAAATGCTGCTTTGGGAATCTGCGCCAGATATCCATTGGCTTGCTTTGCCAGCAGTGTTGGGCCAGCCTTCTGCATGTCACATTCTCGCAGTTCTCTGCTCTGTGACAGCCTTCTGCCTTTGCCCTTAAAAGCAGCTTGCCACAGCCCAGTGGCCCATGCTCATGGCTTCCCTGCTAGCCTGGGACCCAGGCCTTCCCACCCAGGCCCACCTTGCCATTTGCCCATCCTGCACCAGCTCCATCTGGAGACTCATTCAACCCTACTCCCACAGGTTCCTGACCTCTGCTCCCTACTCCCACTCCTTACTTTCCTCCTGCCACCGTGACTTGGTCCAGTGCCTTTCAGGCATAGCCCACTCTGCATCTGGCTGCCAAGCAGAGGCAGAGCTAACAGCCAGAAAGCACAAACTGTAAGTTGACTACATCGATTTCACACTCTCATGTGTATTTTATTTGATCCAGACAGCTGATCAGTTTTAGCCCATTTCTCAGAGGAAACAGCTGAGGGTTCCAAAGACTGTAGACCTTTCCCAAGGTCACTGGATGAAGGAATCCAGGTCTCCTAACTCTAAAACCTTGGTGCTTTCTAACTTGCCTCCCTGAAGCAAGTTTTAAATCTCTCACTCATTCCCAGATGCCTGGGGTAATGCCCAGGGATCCCAGTGAAAGTAGGCAGATGTGTTTTCATAGTCCCCCGAACGAAGTTGGCAGAGCCAGTGTGAGCACTTGGCAATGTCTGCTTTGCCCCCGCCCTGAATGGAGCCATTGCCTGAGGCCCACCTGCCCTGCTGACCCTGCTGCGCCCACCAGAGCAGCTCTGGAAGGCCCCAGCCTTGGTCAGGCATTGAATGCATAAGGCCCTGAGCTTCTCCCAGCCACCAAGGGCACAGACACCCTGTGTACTTCAGGCCCACCTCCCCAAGTTCTCTGCACCCCAGGAAGCAGGTAGGTAACAATCCCTGCTGTCAGAGGGCTCCCCCACAGCATGGCCATAGGTCTCACTCTAGAATAATCCTTGGCATTGTTCACACAATTCTCAATTAGGTCCTGAGAATGTGAACATTTGCAAATGGAAATGACAAGTATCTTAGAAGATGCTCGGTCTCTGCATTCAAACAAGTATTGTCATGTCCTCAGGGAAACTGTCTCTCATCCAGTCTGACTTAATTACTATCTCCCCTACACAACTGTGGGCACCACGAGGGGCCAGGACTAGACTGTGGGCTTCTCTTCACAGAACCCCCAGCACCCAGCACAGCTCAGTAATTAGTAGTCAATGTATAAATGAAACCACGAATATAGGTTTCCACCTGCCCTTGTCCTGTGGCGTCAGGGGTGCCATCACCCAGGCCTGGAGCCCATGGTACCACCCATGGGACCCTTTTGTCCAGCACTCTCAACTCTACCCCAGGTGTTTTCTGCTGAGCTGACTCCCCAGTGTGGGTCTGGGGTCTTTCTGCATTCAGCTATGGGTGCTGGTCTCTCCCCTCGCCCTACCCAGAACCCACCCCTCCGTCTGAGACGTCACCACCAAGGTAACAGGCCTCAAGAATACTCCCCAGCAGTGGAGCAGAAGGAAACAGCCAGACCTATGGCCTGGCCAGTGGGAACAAGGGGTACCAGCCACCCTGCCTTACCTGGGCGGCTCCATCATGACTGGAGCAGGTGGTACCAGGCCCTTGGCAGCTCGCAGTCAGTTGGCTAGGAATGCTGCAGAAAACCCCACCTTTCAGTGGAGAATCCTAACCAACAATAAAAGGGGAAGGAACCCAAAGTGCCTGATTATGGCCAGCCAGACCCGTCTACCCTGAGCTCCATGTCCACACAACAGAGTCCTCTAGTCACAGCTGCACCCCTTGGGGCACCACGACCACTGTGAGCCTAGGAGAAAGTAGAGACAACCTCCAAAGAGGGGTCCCTAGAGCAGTGGGCCCACGGAGAGATGTAGCTCTGCCAGTGTGGGGACGGCCCCGTAGATGAACCCAACAGAGGTTCCACGAGGGAAGTAGGCCACACCAGCTCAAAGGAGCCAGACACTCATGGGGCTGCTAAGGCTGGGGCACTTCTTGGTCTGGGGTCCTCAGGTGGCTTCCCCAGGAACATGGTGGGTCCTTGCTGCTGAGGAGAGATCCAGTGTGGCCTCTGGAAGTGACCATGGCCAGGACGAGTCTTGAGCCTCCCTCTCCCACTCCCAAGGTCTGGCTGTGTCAGGGAATCAGGCTTCATGGGCACCTGTCCAGACCCAACTCCCAAAGGTGGGGAAATGTCATGATCACAGCAACCATGAAGAGACCAATGCAGAAAGCCCATGTTTAATGGGGGGCCTGTCACAGCCTGTGAGGCCCTCAGCGCCTGGGTACCCGCACCATGCTACTGCTCGTCAACCTCTTCTGAGGACTGGGGCTGCTTCTCTTGGGGCAAGTCTTCGAGCATCAGCCTCAGCACATGCACAATCTCGTAGTACAGCTCTTGCAGCCTGAAGTGGGGCAGGAGAGGGGGCCTGAGCACAGGGGTGGGCTCTGTGCCACCCGGGCTCCAGCCATCACACGCTTGCACCTGGCATTCACCACACCTAGCAGGTGTGGGGGCAGGAAAGAGCAAGGACTTTAGAACCCAGTCAGGGCGGACTGGGCCCTGGAGTGAGTTATTTCACCACGAGTCAGCTTGGAGACAGCTCCTGAGCTCTGAGTGAGGTGACTAGGTGGAGGTGACCAGACACTGCCTGGTCCATTCTGGGTCAAGAGCAAGTGTTCCCTGATGCCCTCCTTTTAGTTCCTCTAGTCCACAAAGCCCTTCAGGAGACTTCTGTCAAAAAGCCAGACTAATCATGTCCCTCCTTGTTGAAGAGTCCATGGTGGCTCCTTAGTGCCCATGCCCAGGTCCCCTTCCTGCAGTAATGGCCAGTAAAACTCCAGCTAACATACACTGAGCCAGGCCAAGCTCACGTTTCCACAGAATCAGCCCAGCAGCCCCTCATGAGACAGGTAGGAAATCCCAGCAGCCCCTCTGGAGAGGCTTTCCAGAGTCACAGAGGAAGGTCGTGACAGAACCAGGCCAGGAGCCCCACTCTTGACTCACCAGCCATGTTCTTTCCTCTGCCCCCTGAGAAAGGGTTAGTGAGGAGGGGCTGGAGAATCCAAGGAGGCAGCATTTAAATACAGGCCAGGGCAGGCTAGGGAGTAGACAGGGGAGCAGAGTTCCCCCCAGCCGTGGGCCTGTCCACACCCCAGTCCAGCCCCTGTGCATATGTGGAATCCTGTACCCCCAAGAAGGGCCTCGCTCTGCCCACCCTGTACATCAGCTATCACCTCCCCCCCCC